TATACTTAATTTTACTAATTTTAGTAACTCATTTTATTATTTTAGGGCAGTTGCTTCTGTGTTATATAATTTTATAGATATCTGCTGAGAGAGGAAAAATTCATATTTAAGCTCTTAACACTATCCCAAATAACATTCTCATCTGGGAGCTGATTAAAAGAAACAAAACACTAAACAAACCAGGTCAAAAAACTCTATCAATCAGGATTCAAGTACGTTATTTCTATCTTCCAAGAAAATTTTGTATGAATAAAACTTTAAAAAGAAAACCAAAAATTATGGTTATTCTACTTACTATGGTGCTTCAGTGAGGGCATGAAAAATTACATTTCTTGAAATGACACAAAAGCAAATAATGCCAACACAGTGATATCAGTGTCATTGAATTGCTGTTTTGATGAGAATAACAACTGCCCTGTCCAACAACTACAGACAGAGCAGGGAATTCCACGAGTCAGTCCACACCTTTTAGTTTGATGTTTCCATTGTTCCAGTCTCAGTTTAACATTAAGCTTATTCTTATAGCAGTTCAAGAAACCAAAAAGGGTTTACCCAGAATATGAACTACCTCCAAGAAGATTATGCTTTTTTGTAAAGCAATATTTACCTGAGGAAATTGGGTATTTAATTGTTATCTTTCACTCTCTGGTCCTCCTGTTGAGTGGATGTCTCATTGCTTACATGCCTACCTCAGTGCAGACCCTGCAAAAAACAGGACCTTTTTATTTAAAGAGTATTTACTGCCTTTAAGTAGACAACATATGACTCAGCATGAGAGTTGAAGGCATTTACTGGGTGATGAAGGGTGCATTCAGGAGCCCTGCTGGGTCACAGGCATGGCAACTAGCTTCACAAAATGCTTCTCTTCTGTTCTGCTTCAAAAAACACACCATTGCTGTGATCGACTTAAGGAAAAAACAGGTAATTATGGATTGCAGTGCTGTTTTAATTACGAACATTTCCTTTCCTACCAGTGCCACGAACAAGCTTGGGTGCTTGTATTTGCACCTATTTCCAAATGGTTAGCTTGAGATTTTTAACACCTCCCAAAATATTAAGCAGTTATAGGATAACACAGATATTAAGATCATAAGTCTATTAGTCTGTGACTACAATTCTCAGACCCTCCTGCATAACCACACCTCATCCAGGCCAAAATAATTTTCGTCAAGAGCAATATAACCATAACACATTTTAAAACTAACAACTGCCATCTTAAAATCTATCCCTGAGCCTCTCAAACTCGAGCTGGGAGCCGAGGATAGGGAGCCATTCTGCTGCTGCTGGCTGGAAATGCTGCCCTCAGACACATGCACTCCATGGTTGGACAAGGCTCCCCAATGCCTCCCTTCCCTCAGCCCCATCTGCTGCGATGGCACGGCGCCCGCTCGTCCAGATTGCTGCCAGTCTCTCAGTGCCAAGCAAAATGAGTTTAGATGGGCAGTTTTCTTCTGCAGAAAGTCCCTCCTCTGTGAGGGCACTGGCACATGGGTGCCAAATGCCGCCTCAGACTTGATGGCATCCGCTGCTACTCACTCCCGAGCCGAGAGCACAGCACCTGAATGGAGACAATGACCAAGACAGGGATCTGCATTTCTGGTTGCCAGCAGGCTGCCTGTGCTCAAACACAAAGCCACCAGAATAACACAGGGTATCAAACTCGATGTTAAACTAGACCACAGCCTCAGAAGGGGCTGGTAAGGAAAACTCATAACTGACGATGGCATCAAGAACCAAAAATCCCATGAGGGCAAAAAAAGTCCAAACCACAGTTGTGCACTTACTGAAAGGAGTAGAAAGCATTTGAACTGCATTAGCCTTGTTATGTTCTCCAATACACTTACAGTGGAAGAATTAAAGATGTTCCATTAAAAACTATTCAAATGCAAAGATACAAAGAAAAACAAACAAAACCAACCAAAGTCTCACTAGAAATTTCTTAGCCTGTATTCCATTTGCCTCCATAGATGTTTATGCTCTACTTATCCTCTTAATGGCCCAACATGTTAAATACTTGCCTATTCCAGACCTCATAAGCAGAAAAACATCACTTTCTTTCTAATGCAGAAGATTACAAATACTTAGAGACTCACTTCAAAAGACAATAAGGGTTTACTGATAGCTTTTTCCTGCAGCTTCCTCCTTGTCTGACCTCACTTACAAATAAGCTTCTGGTATTCATTTTTTCCCCCTCAGAGGCTATAAATTATAATGGATTATAATTAAATGTTATTTCTTTGTATTGTTTGTACATCAGGAAGAGGTTTCTGGTGCATTAGGAACAGTACACACACAGACACTGAAGAACAGGCTCTCCCATAAAGAGCAAACAATCATGTCTAGACAAAGGTGTTGCAGGTGCTGCTTGTCAGCTTGTTATTCCTCCCTCTTAAAATGAGAAACAAGACTAAACAGGAAAGATGTGTTGCCTCTAGCTTGCCACTTACTTCATAGTTTGTGAGTCCAGGAAATTCTCATGTTTGGGTAAAGAACAACACACAAAACTTTAATTATTACAACCCAGACCAGCTAATCTCTTTCCAATGCTTTGACTGCAATAACGAATAAACTTTTTCTCCCTCTCTCTCTCCCCTTCTTGTCCACCTGTCACTATTTTATGACTCAGCCAAGGCTGTCCAGGCTGAGTCATGGCAATGGCTCACCCCAGTCCCTGTCTGTCTGCTCTAGCAACGGCCTGAGGGGGCTGTTCGATGAAACACAGGTCAAGATGCTTCCTACAGTGATTATATATCTAAAACTTTGTAAAGGAAACTTCCCTGTCTGACCATACAGGAGGCACTCTGGCAGTCCCACTCCCAGTACCAGAGACTTCCACTGCTGGGAGCAAAGGCCTTTCACAGTGGGCAACTCCAGTGATCCAGTGGGTCCCTGCTCAACATCCTACACACACCACTCACAGTCAAATAAGGTTTCCTTGAGTGGAGTCTCAGATACCCTGATCCTTAAAATAATTTAATCTTGGTGCAGTCACTAGACAACAAAATAACAACCTGAGCTGGTGCCTCTGATAAGGGACCTCAAATAAGGGACCCTGAGCTTCTATCCCCTCACAGTCCAAGCACAGGTCTCACTGTTCCTCCTGAGCTCTCAGCTCCTGCCTTGTCCCTGGGTGTCCCTCACCTGGTTGGGCTACAGGTCCCCGTGCCCTGTGTTATGTAAAGGGTCAGCAGTTCAAGGCATCTTGCCTTGGGCTTCCACCCAGACCACCACCTGCAGCTCCCACTCCACCCCAAACTACCTGCACCCAATGTATTCCTCAAGAACTTTCAAAGAGCTTCAGGTCTTATGCCTCTTTCTGTTGTTGCTGTAGTAGTTGTTAGGCTTTTCAGTCTAGTTTGTCTCTATACAAGGTTTTCACAAGTAATTTCTCATGGCAACTTTTTTTTTTTTATTAACACTTTATATTTCAAAAGAAATCTTAATGAAATCTCTTCTTTTACTCTAGATGTCTGTAGTATATTTATAGTGTTTGCACCTTGTCTGAAGGAGGTGTTATCCTATTCATAGATCAAGCAGCAAGAACACCCAGATCCAGCCAGAGCACATTACTCACCACTTTCTCACCTAAGCTGTCTATGAAACTTGCACCTCCAGGAAGAAGGATCTGTCTGATGATGTTACTGCCAGGACACAGCAGGAGCACCCAGGTGGAGCTTAAATTAACTCCCTTGCAGGGGAGGGTGGGGGTCCCAGGCGAGGCTAATGAGGGTCATTAGTGCCTCTCCTGCTCTTCCTTTGGCTTTGCTTTCTGCTCTGCTCATCCTGAACTGCATTAGTCAAACGTTCAGGGGAAATGTTTCTATCACTTACCGAGACTTCTTAGCTTCACTGTCCTTTGCAAGAACTGTCCCAGATGTTTTTCTGTGCTGCAAATTATTAAATAAACAGCTTTCACATATCCAAGAAATTCCTCTGGCTCCCCATTAAACTATCTCTTTTCTTCACTCTGTAATTAGCTACATTTGTACCTCAACCTCAGATACCTCATCCTGTCTGCAAAACAGCTTTGATCAGGCCAAGTTTTGAACACCGTTTCCACAACCACCTCTCATTGGAGTCAACTGCTATTCAATTCAATGGGAATATTAAATAAGGTCTGACTGGTTTACCTGGACTTGAATCAAGCATATGATCTTGTAACTGTTGAAACTTCTAATGCAACCAGCACATACATCAGTTCCTGGCAAACCAGCAATATTTAAGGAACACTTAAATATCAATATTACTTTTCAGCAACATGTAGCAGTCCTACCACTCTCAGACTTTAGCACACCCTTAAATTTAAGGACAAGATGAAATATTTTCCTGCTCCACTAATATATATCACAACTGCTTTTAATTGCGAGAGTTAGTAAATATGTCTTTCTCACTGCACTAGCTATCACATACGTTGCATTGCCAATAGCTGCTGGCATTTTTCTGCTTTCACTGTGCTACCATTTCATCAGCACAGACTGTGCTGTTGTTTTTATTCCCCGAAACAGCCTGACTTTATGATTCTGTTCATTTCACACCTGGCAACACAGAAAATGCAGAGGTAATAGAGGGGAAATCCTTTAGCAATCAGTAAAATGACTGGAACTGCGGTGGAGACGTGTTATTTTCTCAAGCAGCAATAAAACGCATGTGAATTTTCAAGGGAGCTACAAGTCACTTTTTGCTACTGACATGCCAGCAAATGCTCACATTATCATTTAATAATATGGAAGATAGCACTCATCATAGCCCTCCCACAGCAAAATACCGGGGCGGCAGGTGTTGCAATACAGAGTAACTCAATGAGAAATACGTGTGACATGTTGCTGTTGACGCTAGAAATAGATTTTATGTAGATGCAGAGGAATACAAAAGCTCACAAACATATACAGGCACACAAAGGCATGTTCTTCTACAGCTTAGAATAGTGGAAAAACATGAAGCACAGTTTTACCTGAAACAGAATGAAAAGTTTAGACTCTGAAAGTCCAGTAATGACTCTGTAGAATTTCATGTCTGTGGTTTCATGATGTTTTCTTGGTCAGTGTCTTCGAGCTTAATCTTCTCTAGAGATGTCAGGTTTCTTCCTGAGACTGGGAACACAAACTATGTTTTCCAATATCAATATCAATAGGAATTCCAATATCAATAGGAAAGAGACTACTAAAAATTCTACATTTGAACAAAAATTTTTCATTGTCTTCATCTAAACAAGGGTTTATGCAGCCATTTTTATTAAGCAACAGTAAACAATCTGCAGTAGGAAGCACCTGTTGTTGCCATGAATCCAGATCCAATCCATCTCCCTCAGGTCTGTGGATGGCAGAGGTGAGGAACCAGAGCATGGGCGATGTTTGAGTTCCCCGGGCTGAATTTCTGCAAGTTATCCAGAAGGAAATACCAGAAAACAGCTCTGAAATGTGCAGAGAAGTGAGGACTAGATGAATTGAGAAGCCCTTGTCTCAAACAGCTACCTGAAGACATGTAAGAAGGACAAAAATTCCCCATGACAGGAGGATATGGGATAAAGGAGCACCGTCACAGCAGGGTTTACATCCATGTCCCATGAAGGACAACACAAAGATGACCAAGACTTGGAAACTCTTCCTTGAAACTGTTTCATGCACTCCTGACCTTATTTCAAATTCATTTTCTGAACTTTTTCCGAATAAATTTCTCTGCATTTTTCATTGTAAAAATGTACTTCAAAAAATGCCTGGTGATTCTATATAATTTGTAAGTGCTGTCATTTTACTTATGCAAGCTACCTTTGTCTCCCAGCATTTCCTTTACTGCTCCAATTGATACTGCAATGGAACAGGAGCTCTTCCAGTCAAGTTTATTCTGAGAAACTCTTTTACAGTACAGAAAGTGTCCTCACAAGATATATAAAGAGGGGATTCAAATGCAAATTAATGGCTTAAAAAAGCATAAAATAATGAACAAACAATTAATGAAATTAAGCAGTAAACTGAGTATATCTGCATAAATATTTAATATATTTTATTACTTTTTTAAAAAAAAATTATGGTATGAATTTGATAACATTAAATACATGCATTCTTAAAAGCTCCAACTGACATATGAAAGAATCTAAAACTTTTGGGAGAAAAACTTGCTATCTTAGCGATATTTTGTAAATAATCCTTATCCCATTATTTCTAGTAAAGGCTTTTGCTTTAAAAACACCCTTCCAAAAATGTAATGTGCAGAGGAAAAAAAAAACTTGCACTCTAATGACTTTATGCCTTGTTTTTTCTCAGTGAAGGGCAAGCCTGTAGGGGCCTAAGGGAAGGCAGGCAACAAATGTCATCTTTCTTTTCATATAATTGTGTACCCCGTGTGCTTTATGTAATCAAAATAAATACTTCAATTTGTTACATATTTTGCTGGAGGAACAGAAGGCATATGGAAAAAAAAAAGCCCTGGGGGCAAATGATCTCACTCACCTGGAAAACAATGTGTGTGTTAATAGAGTAATTTGTTAATTAAAGATTCTAAGATGTCCACCAAAGCCATTTATTTCTGAATTACCACTTCCTAGAGTTAAACAAGATCCCCAGTAAAATGTAATTAGAAACTCTATTTTTCCTCTGTCTGGGCCGTTCCTGAGTGCAATCAATTTGACAAGGATCCCAAGAGTTACCTCAGCAGCAGATGGTCTGCGCACCAACCCAGCGAGCGCAGCACACCAAGAACAAAACAGATAAAACAATTTCATGCCCGTCGCCAGAGCAGCTCCCAGATACAGCGCTGTGTGTTGAATTACCTTCGAGCTAAGCTTCTTACTGGCGGTGCAGCACAAAACAGGGATGACTGAGGAAGATAAAAAAAAAAAATACTCATTTAGATAAGACTCCAAGCACAGTGAATTTTTTTTTTTCAGGGATGCTTAAAACAGAGGTAGTGGTGCTTCAGCTCCTTGTGGCAAATGTGAGAACCTGGCCATAGGGATACCTGGGAATACTTTCCATTTCAACCACATTCTAAAACTTTTAGCTGGGTTTTTCTTTTTCTTTAAAGAAAATTAAAAAGAATTGCTGTGGTCCATGCTGAGAACCCAAATAACTCCGGGTTTGTTTTTAAAAAACGAACAAACACAAATGACTACCTTGCACTTAGTGCAGTAACACAAAACAAGGAGGTAAATAAGATACAGGTGTGTTACTCAGGAAAGCCGTAATTCCAAGGCTTTCCAGGGGGGCTTTTTAGGTTGCTATGGCAGGAAGAAGGAAGAATTGCTCTGGTTGGAAGCACAGTGTTTGGCTCTGACTCCTGCTGCTGCTGTTGGCTGTGCTCCCAGGTTTAACCCCACGTGTGGTGCTGGGCTCTCCATCCTTCCTGAGGCGGGAACCCAAAAGGATGAAAGAAATCTCGTATTGGAACTGGGAGTTATTTTTAAAAGTGCTCTTCCAGGTGTAAAATGTAGTAGGAAGATGGAGATAATAGCTCGGTAAAACAGTGGGGAACTGCATGGTATGGTTGTTTCTGTCCTTAACAGAGGAATTTGGCCAAAACTGTGGGCAGATCACATTGGAATTATGAGTAATAACAGCAGAGCTTCTTTTTGGCAAGTTGCTAAGAGACGTACTTAAGACTTCAAAAGCTCCATTGTCTGGTTCCCCAGAAAAACTAGGAAATCCTATAGCAAAGAAAACTCACTGTATATATTGTAATGAGCCTTAGGGATTTCTCAAACAAAAGCATCAATGAAGAGCTATTCTTATTTCTGGGCTCATCTTAGATATAAGCACAGCTTATTACATGTCTTGTTGCAGGTGCTGGCCTATGGTTCCTCACTGAACTGTTTATAAGGAACCTTTCGTTTAATTAAGCTTATAAATTTACTGTTATAAAATTTAACAATTGATATTAAGATGTTCTCTTTGCCATATATAAACTTGTATTTATAAAAACATAGCTGTCTTTAGTCATTAAACCCTATAAATACTCATTTCTGGACATAAAAAACCTAAATCTGGCATTTTTAGTTTTTGAAGCAAATACATGTCATGCCTCAGTCAGAGAATGTACTATGAATGTGGATACTCCTAAATACTAATCCACTGCAAAGTCATTTTGCTGTAGGAAGCATTTAAAAGCAGAGTAATTCAAGTTGATGTGAAAATAACTCAGCAGGAAGATTAGTCCACTAAACCCAGCACAGAAGACATGATAGTCCATGAAGACATATGATAAATAATGGTGTTCTATATGCCAGATAATCAGTATTTCTGAAAAAAAAGTTGCAAAAAGCCCAGCACTGCAGTAGCAAAATGCTTAATACGGGAAACTGGGAGTTTATGTCCTGGTTGTTACTGACAGAGAGGTTTTATCCTTCTGTGTTGGCCACTGCGTCTTCAAAGCTCAGTGATTCTGATACTCCCCCTCTCTTTCTGTAGTTGCATTTACTTTTGGCATTTGGTTTGATTTCAGCCATTTAATATTGGTTCACTTTGCAGCTCTGAGCCCTATGTTTCCTTACAGAGGAATGGTTTCTTTTCCCTAAGTTTCCTGGATACTTTGTCACACCTTTCTTGACTTTAAATTAAAAAAAACCAGTACTCTGTCAACACAACCAACCCTCATTTTTCTACTCCAACAGTCAGGTATGGCAGCGAGCCAAGAGTCCCCCAAACCCACTAGCTTCTGCACATCAAAACAGATGAAATTATTTTCCCTCTTTTTCTGCATCTTACCTCAGTGGCCTCTCTAATGACCATTTTGCTTCAGGCTGTGTCTGAACAGAAACCTTTCACCTGTCCATCTCACCACCTCTTCCAACCTGGACAATTTCTCTCAAGTCTTTTCTGGCCAGAGAGAATACATTTAGTGCATAACTAGTGACACATCAAAATAAGATGCTGAAGGTTTCCAAGTTTCTTTCCACAACGCAGACCAACGTACAAGCAGAAAATACTTCATTTTAATACTTTTCTCACAGAATCACTGAGGTTGGAAGAGACCTTTAAAATCACTGAATGTCACCATCAACCCAGCACAGCTGTGTTCACCACTGCACCACGTCCCCAAGTGCCACATCCACACGCCGGTTTTGCACAGTGAAAGCCTGGAGAGGCTGTCCCATGTTTACACAGATATTCTGCCACTTCACTAGGAGAGGAACAAAGGGGAAACTGCTCCAGGAAACAGAGCCAATGGATTTTCCAGCAACCTGCACATTTCCTTGATGAGGACCTGTGGGGACCATTGCTGCAAGAGCTCTGGAGAGAATCCCATGGCACACTGCCTGCTCAGCAATCTCTCTCTTGGATAATCATGCTGCAGAGCAGGATTTGCAAGTTCAGGAAAAAGTGTAAACGTATTAGTTTTGCACTAAAATGAAAAGGCTGAATACAATTACCTCTTCTGGAAAACTGATGTATGTGCAAACTAAAATAAAAACCAGGAATACATTACTGGGTTAAGATAAATCTGTTAATTCCAGTTTCTTTGCCTATGTTGTTTATCAGTGGGAAATGTGAATAACGTTAGAAGTGTATTCTTTTATTTCTACATAGGAATATTTTTAAAGAGAAATCTGACTGAAAACCACAGAGCTACTCCTCAAACTTAATCTGGGAAGAGTCCTTTGGAATATATTGTAAGGCTACAAACAAACTGTGTTCTTATGGCTGCTGGCAGAGTAGTCAGGAGATCAATGCCTGGCAAATCAATAAGATAATCTAAAGGGACCACGAGAACAACTTGAAACTTGAGATGCTGAACCAAAGTGAGAACAGTTCTGCCACTCTAACTAAAATGTATCTTAAATTACCTGGAGGGACAAAAGGGTTTTGAAAACCTTTGACCCACTCTATTTGATAGAATACAACTTAACTGTAAAATAATCAATAAAACTAATAGTTTCCTTAACATCTACAAGTGAAAAGGTTTCACTTGATGTAGTGAATAAATATGTAGCATAATTGTGGTTTGTTAGAAGCAAATCAGCTCTTGATGAAACCTACAGAGATTACAAAATATCACTTGTCAGAAAGGAACTTACACTACTATAAGCAAAGAATAAGCAAAAATGTGATCTACCCAAACAGTGCATCCAGAGAAAACTGGATTAAGCTATTGGTAAATA